CACACACACACACACACACACACACACACACACGCACGCACGCACGCACGCACGCACGCACGCACGCACGCACGCACGCACACATTACATTTATAAATTTATATAAATTTATATATATGCGCATAAAAATTAAAAAATATCTTTTAAACAACGCGACGTAGCAATCGATGATTTTTCCGTGATCGAACGTTGAGTTGTAAAACAAAACTGAAAGGAAATTCTCGCATATTACAAAACGAAAACTTTAGATGTATTTAACGTACTTAAATCCAAGTTCTTAAAATTTATTAACGGTATTTCCAGTATTTCTTGTCGTTATGTTATCGGGCATCTATACGTCGAGATTGGAGAAAACTTGAAAACGTCGAAACTTCAATTGAAGGCGTTCAGAAGAAATGAAAGATGAATGCGTTCAAGTAATTTTCCAAAATCTACGCGATCTGTGTGAGAAAGACAAAGTAGTCTGGCAAAACGTGCATAGTAAATGAAGATTCTCATCCATTCGCATAGGCGAATCGACAATCACGAACGATCTATAAGCTCATCTGGTATATGGTTCCGCGTAATTGGGTCGAATGAAATTTTTGTCGGACTCCAATGATCTGCAAACGAATTCACAAATTAGTAGCGTAAAATATATCGTGCACAAGTGCGTTATTAATATTTAGTGGATATTGAAAATTGTTTATCGTTCATCGTAGTCAATGTTATTTCTAGCTAATTTCCAATCGATGAACATTATGGTGAAAAATGTCTAGCTAACGAAGTTTAGTTTCATATTCCAATTTGCTTTCTATTAAGTGAGTACTTTATAATATGGAATACTTCGCTAGCACGGAGTCATCAAACTAGATATTTAGCTAAGTGTCTCACGGACCGTTGCTTGGATTTCTACTTGCGCTCATACTCATCGCTTTTTCTATCTAGAGATTATGTGCGGTTCGTCCGACGTTTGTCTTTCGAGCAACGTTCGTGTCATTTGTCCAACATTTTGGATAATCCTTGAAAATCAAGTTCAAAGATTTTACATAGGTGTATGTCAATTTGTGATGCAAAATCACACATCGGAAAAAAGCCAGATACGTGTCGATCCTATAATGAAAATTGACAGCGCGTAATAGGATGGGGATTTTGACGATTACATCCGCGATTTCGTAATTACGACGATTTATGAACCATTCATGGACTGTGTTCTATGAACTACATTTAATAACACATTCAATTTCAAGTTTAATTAAAGTTTGATATATAATTAAATTTTCCAGAATACACAATTGTTAACTTTTTATTATACACAAAATATACCTAATGGTATGCATTTGAAAACTGGAAAAACAAAATTTCGGAGAAAAATGATACAAATTTTTTTACATGATACAGAATTAAATAATTAACTGATTAATCATTTAATAATTAAATGATTCAAATGATTAAAATAATCTAATAGAGAAACTTTCGTGTTTCTAAACATTAAAACATATAGAAATTTGCAACATCTTTTAGATACGTATGGCTATATATTATTTTTCATAGTTTTGCACTAACAAAGAAAGATCACGTACAATTTGTTTCAATTTGGATGAAACTTTGGTTTGGATAAAGGTTTGAACAACAGTCAAAAACAACAGATAAATATTTTTTTAACTCTGATCATTCAAATTTAAAGGATGAAATCGCCTTTCGAAGTTTGATAGATAGAAAAAATCTTTTTAATACGAATTGAATGCTTTCTGAGATATTAGAAGAAAATACTAAAATCCACAAAAAAATTTCAAAAATGTTAAAAAACATTAGGTTGGTATTATGAACATTTGAAGAAATACAGTGACTATACAAGTAATAAAAATATTATTTTTTTATATCAAACACAATGTTCTTTATATCAAATACAACGATGTATATTTATGCATGTATAAATCAAATTCCGTTCGACTTTCCCTTGTTTATGTTCTGTTTAATGTTAAGGAAAAAAAGAAGCAAAACAAAAAGAAACACAAAAGGCAGAAAAAAATAGTCTTTCAAGTAGTCTTTTCAAAAACAGCATGTAACGTTTTATTTAATTTTTATATAGATAAATGAAAAAAAAGCTAGTACATTTCTGCATTCGTTTCTGCATGAAAATCACTTTTTGAGTGTGATAAAGCCAAACGGAAAAGTGAAAACTAATGCATATCGCTGCAATGTATGTAAGTATGTATGTACATATATTGCGTTTGACCGGGTTAAGCGACCAACAATTCGAGGGGAAATAATCGTTTCTAATATCCGTAGTCGTCCGTTCTGCCGTACTTCTTGTTTGCGAATTTGTAAGTATGTAGTAAACATATATTTGTACCATCGAGAATTGTCGTGACTTGATCTAGTTTGGTATTCATTATTTAGTTGTTTTATTGTGCAAAAAAACTTCGTACATATGGAATACCATCGTGATTGTCACGAGATTCATATTTTATAGCTACATATGTATATGCAAGACGACGATGAAAGATTGTTGTTTATCAATGGAGCTTAATAACGTACTTACTCGCTACTATTCGAAAATTATTTTAATGAACAATGCTTGTAATGATGTCGGTTCTTGAAATAACGAATAGAATGGGAATATAACGAATGATAAAAAGTGATAAAAATAACGATGGCTTTATCTGCTTAAAAACATAGTTTGTAACATTAATTACCGGAAAAAGTAAAGAGCAGATTAAATTTTTGTTCCTGTTAATATAATTTTCATAGAATCTTAAAATTACATGTTTTAAATAAATATTTTAGATTGTATATAATTTTATATAATATTTGAAATATTTTTAAAAGAATAAACATAATTATTAATTCATGTAGAAACAATATTATTTTAGAAATTTGTTTAATAATAAAGTCAAGTACATATATGCTACTCGTCGTAAAAGTGTTAATTATCCTATAGTTTAATGATGTTTTGCAATAATTCTTGTTTGCTTGAAATACATTTAGAATATGGACAATTTTTATTGCTCTCTAAAATTCTATCAAAATAATATAAATAAAAGTACATATATAAATGTAACACTTAAAATAAAATCGAATAAGGAATCTATTATATAAGTACACAATAATATTATTTAAACATATAATTTACGAACATATAACTTCTAAAGATAAAATTGTCAATAAGGCGTTGCGCTTTCTTTTTAACGAATAATCAAGTTTCTTACGCGATGATTAAGTTTCTTACTATTGAATAAATTAAAATAGAATTTTATTTTATTCTTTTTTTGATAAATCATAAAGTTTTATGATTAGTAATTCAGATCTAGAAGTTGTATAAACCATAATATTTTATTCTACAAACTATACTTGTATTGTCATGACCTAAGTTTATTGTCAGTAACATTTATTTATATGACAATCATTTTTTAATGGCATAGAATTTAGTAACGTAACAAGCTTATGTTTGTCGGTGAAGATATATAGAAGATATATAGTAGTTTTCCATTATTCAAATTATGCTAACAAACTTACAGAAATATGTAAGTGATTTATTTCAGATTTATTCAATTAAATTTTTCACCTTTTTCTACTTAAAATTCAAGTTTTATTGTAATTTGTTCAATTGTCTTATATTAGTTAAATGCTAAAAAATTTGATTTTGCAAAATCGTTGTTTTATGGCATTGTTTTGGAAAATCATCATTTTTCTTGCCATTATTTGCCATTATTGATTGGATCAATATTTAAAATAAATTGTAATTTATATTCGTACTATTTTAAAATTATGTTTCATTATACTTAATACGCAATATTTATAAAATTAATATACATATATGTATATGTATGAAGAATATAATATTAATTATATTGATAATAGAGATTAACTATAAGATGTAATACAGAGATCAACACTATGAAATGATTTGAGTCACTAACCTGTACATATCATATATGTAAAATGTATTTTCGTTCAAGATATTATCAAGCTTAAAATTCTAATTTACGGTAGTGTAA